GACCTGGTGGTCTTGGCTGCATGGACCCAGCAGCTGTTCTGCCCTGGGAATGCTCCAGAGGCTCCTTGTAGGGAGAAAAAGGTGAAGGGGGAAAGAAAGAGGAATAGTGCAATGAATCCAGTGCAGTGCTCCGGATGACAGCAAGGATCAGGGTAACCATGCCCTGGAGGGGACTCAGTGTGTCAGTGGCAGAGTACAGAGAGGATAAAACATGTTTCCCCCAATCTCCAGAGTCTGTCCTTTTCAGCTGTCATGATGCTGCTGGAGGGCCGTGACACAAAGACTGTGCCTGTGCACTGGTGATAGGATTTAGGAGCTGGAGAATGAGGATCTGACAAGCCTGGTTTTATAGATCACAGCCTTCTCTGCATTAGCCAGTGTCTCACTCATGTATTTCTTTTGCATTTACTTGTCTCTCTGTTTATTCCCATGACTTTAAGCCAAGAGCCATTTGTGTTTTGGGTAGATTGCTCAGAAAGGCTCTTGGTCTCACATAGATCTGTAACCATTTTCATTGTCAAGACTGGAATCACTTTGCATCCAAGCCTAAACCCTGTGTCCAGGTAGGGTCTTTACCCCCAGGGTCTTTACCCCTGTGCCAGCTACACTTTGGTAACTCTGGGATCTGTTTGTTTATCTTGCCAAGCAGAGGCCTAGCAGGACAGAAATGCCTTCTGTTCTTGGTGATCTGCTGTTAGTCACAGAGATCAAGAGAGCCAAGTAAAATTAACCCTACATGTGCAGCAACAATTCGTGCCCGCTGCTTGGCCTGTGAACATTCTGGTCCTCTCCTGATCTCCTGAGAATCTTGTCTAATCCAGCAGTGATGTCATTGGCTTGGGGGTTTCTTTTTGTCTGCAGTTTTGTTTGTTTGGTTTGGATTTTCTTCTTTTTTCTTTTTCTTTTCTTTTTTTTTTTTTTTTTTTTTTTGTTTAATGATGGTAATGGTCCTTGAATACCCTTGATGTCCTCACGGCTTTTTGAGATGACAACACAAGTTCCTTGGCTAAGGTTGTCCTTTGATCCTCACTGCTCACTCCTGCTTTTGGCAGTTTGCGTGGGAGTTCGTGTGCGTCAACAGTGGCAGAATCGTTGTTTCCCTCTGCTGAAGGTGACCAAAAATGTTTTGCTTGTCCGTTAAGAAATCACTTTAAGCAGATCAGTGTAATGAGATTCTGAAGCCATATGGCACTGGAATTAGAGCCTTCTAGTGCAGGAACTGCATGTTGCAGCTGCAACAGTGCTGTACACTACAAGGAATTTCAAGAACATTTTTCCTCTGCTTGTTCCTTTAACTCCTTGGGGTTTAAAACCATGCCTGGGATGTAGCCCTTTATTAAAAAAGGAGGGAGAGGAAGTCCTGGTCTGCTTTTTATTAGTTGGAAGAAAATAAATGAAAGTTAATAAAAAAGACTGGTCTCTACTTTCTAGCTGAACACTGGAATGGATGTTACCATTGCACCAAGAGTGCTCTGAAAAGAAACCTTTGTGTTAAACTACTGAAATGGCTTATCAGATTCAGGATCTGGGAGGTGGGGAGGCAGAAGGAAGGTTATTGAGCTATATGCAAAATGAAAATGTGTTTCAGCATAGCTATCAAAGATTAGTTCAAACACCAGGGAAAAAACATCATGAAATAGGAAAATGTGAAGCTGGAGTTTCAGGAAAGAAATATAGATTATGTTTTTAGCTTCTGTTTGTATCAGTCTTTATAGTGGCATTGGAATTAGATTACTTATTTCTTAGATTTTTGGAATACTACATACTCAAGTGTGGGGAGCTGCTGGTCTTCATGAATAAATAAGACACCTTTTGCTGTTGGGTTTTTATGTTTTGTCGTCTCTAAAATGTTGGTGGATAAGAGAGGTAATTTTTTCAGTCTCTTCTACACTAAAATTTCTTAATGGTTCTTGCAAGGCTCTGATGGAAAAGCAATGCCTGTTCCCCTCAATTGCTTTAATAACTGTGTGGGGTAAGCTGCAAACAGCGAGTGTTTTACAGTGTTTTCTAGCTGCCTCATTTACACATGCAGCAGAAGCAGACTTCTCTTCCTCCTTCCTCAGACAGATAAATGCTGTTCCCAAACTCAAGTCTTGATTCCTCACAAGAAATTATGTCCCTTGGGCTCGGCATCATTGAGATCCAACCTGTTTGTTGCACATTTTCTGCTTAACAGTGATGCCAACCATCACAGCACTGCTTTTTGAGGCAGAAGCATCTTGTTTCATGAGAAGAGATATGGGGCTTAAATGGATTTAACTGAGCTGACTTTAAATTTGTTGCCATCCTCTGGTCACACAGTCATGGCAGCAAGCACTTAAGCACTTTCCAGCAAGCATCAATTCCAAGGCAAACTGGTATTTCTAATGAAACAAGGAGCTAGTGCAGTTCTGCAGGCTGTTTTGGGTAGTGGCATCTGAAGGTATCTGGGTCATGGGGTGGGGGTTTTTTTTTCTTTTTTTTTAATTTCTGAGGACACTTTCTTACATTTATTTACTTGCTTATTTATTGACAGACCAACCCAGATGATGTTGCTAGGCAATGCTGGCAATTCATGACCAATTTTCCAATCATTTTGCTGTAGGTGTTTAGAGCAGCAGGAGAGTAATGCCCTTCCATTCTGTGCTATTATGGAGAAGACCCAGGGAAGTGTGCCTACCATCTTCTGTACCTGTTCCCTTCACTACAGCTTTCTTTCAAACAGACTGGTACCTTTCAGCTAATGGAGGAAATTTGTGAATTCCCCATCATCCACACAGAGTGTGTTTGGTAACATGTTACATAGAAGAATTCCTGCAAGGCAGCCCTCACTGCAGCTCCTGTGCAGTACAGAAGAGGTCATTTGTGTGGTAAAACCAGGGTGGGTCTCAGTTCTCCCATGTCAGGTTTTCCATATGTGTCAGGAGAAGCTAGCCCAGCTTGTGAATGGGACTGCAATGAAACTTACAGTAGAGCAAACAGATCCTTCTGCCCATCCATCACAGCACTCAGTCCCTGAGATGACCCTTATGTGCCTTGTTGCTAAATGTGTAGCAGCTGCAGCCAGCTTATTTTTGTGTCTGGAGCTGGGTGATGGCTGTGGTACCCCAGGCAGCAGAGGTTTTTATTTAGCATTGTGATGGATCAGGCTTTCCTGGGGAAAGACTGGGAAATTATTTTAGATCATTTCCCTGTTGTGTGCTGTGTGGCTACCTGTGCTTCCAAAGCTCACATCTAGGGCAAATTTCTTCTTGCATCCACTTCCAGCATCAAGTCTCCCCCTTGGAATGCAGCAAGTCACAGATCCTCCTGTTCCTAAGCCATGTGGATTCTGGTGGGGAACAGCATTCACAAGAAAGGGTGGCAGACAGAAATGTATTTCCACAAATGCTGGATTCTTCCTCATTGTTTATCTCTGTGTGCAGGGTTGAAGTGCAATTATTCTGTGTATGTCAGACATTAATATATTGTCAGAAAAGTTTATTTGCCAAGGTATATCATGTTTGTCTGTGTAAGGAAGGATACCATGAACCCTTGTGATGAAAGAAAATAGGGAGGAAATGTTTAAAGATAAAACTGCAGGGTTGTGTTTCTAGTTTTGTTATCTCATCATGACAGTTTTCTACAAAGTATTTCTGCCTTCTGTGCCACTGGTCTCCCTATCTGTAAAATATTGCTCTCCCCTAGGGATTGCTCTATGGAAGCTCTAATAAATATTTTACAAATGCTAATGAATCAGGTTATTCAACAGTTCAGTACATCAGTGTTCTCACTTTGCAGGCAGGGTTTTGGCAAAGACAAAGAGCAGGAGAGTGAGCAACTTCATAACCACACAGCAAATTTGGAGGTGAGGGTAGTAAAATCTTTTACCTTTAAGAGTGGAAATGTCCTTTATAGCTTCATTTCATCAAAAGAAGATGTTCTGAGACTCAGTTCTCAAGTCTGGTAGCTGTTTGACGACATGGCCAGTTTGTATGTGCTGGGTTAGGAAGCTTAAACATCTCTCCCTGTGTGCATGAGGCAGCAAAGCTGGCTGGGGAAAAGCTGCAAGTTCATGGAAAGGGAAGGAAGTAGGGGCAGGTGAGTTTACTTCTGTGTGTTTCAGCTTACAGGCATTCAATGCAGTTCAGCCAGTTATTCAGCATTTTAGTAATGGCACCATAGGAGGCTTTTTTCTCCTGGACATCTTTGTCCCCTCTAGGTCATTCTCTGATTTGGATTAATTAGCCTTCTGCTTTCCCACTCCACATCTAGGAATCAGCTGTGATCTGAGCAGGCCACGAGCTGAAGAGCACAGGATGTTCTGGCGCTGTGTAAAGTGCCAACAGGTGCTAGTGACTGAGGCACAGGAGGGCAAAGGTTCTCAATCTGTGTCTAAGATCCTTGCAGGAAACTCATTGTGTGCTCAGGTGGCTGCAGTTGAGCTCTGGATGGCAGCTCAGCCCTGATTCATTGGGTTCTCACTGTATTCTTTGCACTGTCACCAGTGCTGGCCTTGTGCCTGTTGTGCATCTCCTGTGCAGTCCCCTGCCGATCCTTGGGGAAGCTCCTTTTTAATTCACTGTATCAGGATTGAGTGCTCTCTGCACTCAATTCCCCAATTACTAGTTTCTTCATAAGGCTCTCTAACCAGTGTTTTGTGTTATTGTAATTGTTAAAAGGGGAAAAAAAGTCAGCTTAAATATCCAGCTCCTTCCAGGGAGGATTTCCAAATGAATGTTTCAAATATCTGAGTTTGGTGTCTAACTAATGGATCCAACTTCTTTGTTTAAAAAAATTTAGTTGGGGGGTTGCTTAGCTAGCAGAGCATGTCTGCCAACAATATTTCCCTTGTCCTCCATTTGCTACTCTGTTCATTTCGATTATCAGATCTTATGAGCAGGGACTGTGCACAGCAGCAGAGGGCTTTTCTGTACAGTTGCAGCCTCCCAGTGCCACTGCCAGACGTGTGAGTAATTGGCTGAGCAGCTCTGCAGAGCAGTATCCTTGCACCGTCCAAGCTGAAATGCAGAAGTAAAAAAATTCGTTCTCAGAGATGAAGACTCATAAAATCATAAGCCTGAAAGGAATGAAAAATCATGAAGAAAAACCTTTTCTCAAAGAAAAATTCTTTGTGAACATATCTGGCATGCTCATTAAGAGTCGTTCTGTGATCTTGCAATGTGCTTCTGGGATCTTCTCTCTTCATTGTTGCTTATAAGACAGCTTTAAATTAATGATAAGGAAGCCATTCAGGCCATGGGCTGCGCTGAGGTTCACAGCTTTCATTCTGAATGAGAGATTAAAGTAAACTGATATTGAAGGCAAGGAGGGAGAAACAAACACAGTCAGTAAGCCTATAAAAGTCTTAGCCAATTGCAATGGTGAACATCCTGCTGGCGAGGGTGACCTTGAATGAACTAAGTGGGATAAAGTCACCAGGCTGGACTGACAGCTGAAGAATCAGGCTGGATTCCAGCAAACAGAGAGCAGATTCCTGACAGGAGTCTCCTGAGCTGTGGCAATGGCTTCTCGGTGTCGGAAATGTGGACAACAGGTACCCAGGAATCTGCCTTTCACTGCTGTCCGGATCACAGAAGGAGAAATGAAATCTTACCATGATTTTATAGGAGGGTGCGTTAGACTGGAGCGCATGGCAAAGAAAGGTAAGTGTAGCATCCTTGAACAAAATAGCATCTTCTCCTTGTGGTAATTGCATTGCATCCCCAGGCAATTTGTAAAAACAGATTATATTCTTAATGCTTTCTCTGAGGAGTCAGTAATAATTAAAGGCAACTGGCTGGAATTGGGTATTACCTCAGGTGTGACTGCAGTGTTTGACTTGGCTGTATATTTCTGGGATATTTGCAGTGATTTGACCTAAAGGAGTTAAAATGAATGTTAGACTCATTCTGAATAAATGTTTATTTCATTCGAGTGTAAGACACTGAGTTTTCTGTATATGTCAGGAGTTAGGTATCTGTTGTGCATGGAAAATACTTAAAAATGAATGTAAAGAGCTGGAGCAGTGGGTGTTGTGACCCAGCTGACCCTGTCACCCTGTGCTCCTGAATTACTATGTAGAAGGTCAATATCTTCTTCTCTGTAAAGATTTTGGTTTTACTGTATTTGGAAAGTAGCAAACAAAGCTTTTTGTGCTCTGTGTGAGTCAGCCCAGGTACAGGGCAGTATTACACTCTCAGGGGGTTGCTAGTATAAGGTACTGGTACCTAGCAATTTGTGCTAACTGCAAGCTAACTCTGAAGTGGAGTGCTGCAGTTGAAATCTAGGCTGTTGACTGTCTATTCACATATCAAAATTGCTGAATCATAGAACACTTTTTCTCTGTGTCATTGAGAGGAAGGTTTTTCAAAGAGCCCCCCTTGATTTGCCCTGTTAACTTGAATAAATACTTAGTAAACCTCATATCCATAAATTTACAAGGTTTTCACTAGTGCACGTTGAAGACTCCCAAAAGGATGCAATATGATTGTACTTGGAAGTTATATTGTTTATTATTATTTAATTAGCTCTTCTGCAAGAGTTGCATTTGATCTGGTAAATGGAGAATATTCTGTAGAAAAAGGTGGCTCAGAAGCAGGGTGTCGGCTGCAGCCACTGCTCACACACTGGGCTTTGCAGATGCTTTCTTTAACAGGGATCTAATGCACAATGTCAGGGTTTGAAAAGTGCAAAGCCAGTCCATTGTACCTCTGCTTCTATGGGTGATCCATCCATGCTGATCTTTGGGCTCGGTGCCTACCTATGCATTGTTGTATTTGGCTGACCTCTCAGTAACACTGATGTTTCCAGTTGCGCTCTTTGTACCGAGGCATTCCGAGTTCAGAGCAGCAGGGCAGAAATGTCTGGTATCCAGTAAAAGACAGTGGATTCATTGGAGTTCCTTCCTGAATGTTTGATCAGGTTGCTTGTGGCTTTGTGGGCCTGTGGACCTGCTGGAGGCAGAGCTCAGGCATCTGCTGCTCTTTTTCTTCCTGTAGTAGACAGAGGAAGAGACTGGTAAGGGCTTTGCCATGGTTACTGTTCCCAGGGAAACACCTTCTCTGCCTCTCATATTGAGAGACTACCTGGCATAGTATTATGGGTGGAAATCCCTTGGAAAATAATTTTTTGCTAGGAAACAGAAAGCATGTCAGATCAGCCTGAGCCTGTTGTCATTTTGTGATGCAGAAAACATCTTTGCTGCTTTAGTATTAAATTCTGCCAGCAAAGCTGCCACAGGGGCAGAAGTTCAGTTATTGCTGAGGACAGGGGGCCTTCAGCTGCAGGTATTGGAGATGTGTGAGTTGTGAGAACACACTGGAGCAGCTCTGTGTGTGGTGACACAGAAGGGGGGCTAAGGAGCTGGCAAGGTGACACAAGAGTTCATAACAACATTGTGTGGGTTGTTTTCTCCTGCTCTGAACTGACTCTGACCTTGTGTTCATTGTGGGCTTTTTTTTGGCCTGTGTTTTCTTATCTGTAAAGAAGGAGTGGGAATTACCTGCCTCCATAAAAAGTGGATCCTGATGATGTAGCTATGACTACTTCATATTACTACTTTGATGACTAGACCAGTTTCTCTTAGTTGTCTGTGCTACATAAACAGAGAGGCAAAAAGATTGTCTGTCCCAGACAACTTGGATTCTGTCTGCCCCACCTAGTCCTACAAGCAAAGACTCATTGACTGGCTTTTTCTCAGGGTGGCTTTCTCTGAACATAGTGGCAATGCAGGATCCCTGGGGCATGTTCTGACTTACCAGCATTTTAGAGGGAGTACCCTTTCTGCAGTGTAAAGGTTGAGCTGGACTGTTGCTAAGGTCCAGTTGGCTGATGTTTACTCAGTACTTCATGCACTCCAAAATATGGAGCAATTTTCACCTTGTCCATCCCCTGGACACACATACAGACCATGCTTGTGTAACCTTTTGAATATTCTGTTGCAATTTTATCTTGTGTATTAGATATCATAATGAGAAGATATGGAAGGTATGCAGGTAACTACAGCAGAAATAGAGGCCACATGCTTGTAGTGGCTGCAGGTTTCCTGTCTTTTATCAGCAGTACCCCATAGCAAGCAGTTGTGCCAAGCCATTCCAGTTCCTGTGTTCCACTTCCAGTCCGATCTTCCACATTCCTGGATCATGCAACTTTCAAGGCTTTCTTTCAATCAATGTGATTTCTTCTGATGAGTGGTTAGAGGTGTGGTTGTAGGCTTCTGTTCAGGTAAAGGGAAAAAATAGTGAATGGTCACAAAAAGAAGTGCTGCTGTGAGGGGCCAGCTGAAGGGCTGTTTCCTTACGGGCACATGATGCCTGCTGAGAGCTCCTCAGCCCTGGCTCCCTGCAACAGGCTGTATGAGCTCCCTGCAGGGCCCTCTGGGGTCTGCTGTACAAATGCTGCTATTTTGAACACCACTATGTGACCTTGAGACTGGGAGCTGCAGCTCCAAGGTGCTGGTTATAGCACAGCATGAGAACCAAAGGGAAGGAGCCCCCAGAAAGCCAGGGAGAGATGTGGCAGGGACCCCAGCCCAGGGCTGATCATTGTTGGAGTGCCCTCAGTTCCTCACAAAACAGATACTGAGGCTCAAAGCAAAGCATGGCCTCTTGCCATGAAATGCACCATTCTTGCACAGTGGCTCACGTGTCTCTTCATCATGGACCTGACTAATTATGTCACCCTGCTGCTGGTGAACACCTTTAATGCTTGAGGACACCTCTTGCCAAACTGGCCTCTTTGTCCCCAAATGCTCCTAGTCAGCCTGTCTTGTTGTGATGCTCAAGTCCTCAAGGGGATCATGTACCCACAGGGGTTTTACATGGATGAATGATCCTGTGCTGGCTATGACTGTCTCTGCATGCTGTGGAGCTTGGGGCTGCAAGGGAATTTTATATTTTTAGAGGAATAATTGTGTGGTTTTCATCTGTGCTCAAGGCTGGTGGCTGCTTAAATGTAATGAATCTGCAGACAGGAATATGCAGTTTATTACTGAGGCTTTCAGGATTTTGCTGTTACTGCAAAACCAGGCAGGAGGCTCCTTTCCAGTAGGACAGGGACCTGTTTGTTGTGCTAGCAGTGTTTCTGCTTTTGTCCTCTGTAGGACAGAGGAATGCTGCAGTTTTGTCTGTCCAGCAATCATTGGAGGTTGTTCTCAGTCCTACTGCTGTGTCTCTGTTACTGCTGGACTTGAAAACCAATTCTTCAGATCCATCTGTTCAGGGAGGAAAAGGGACTCAAGTACTGGAGTGGTTAAGGAATTATGGTGCTATCTCTGGAAGGACATCCCATCTGAAATGAATTGGGACTGAAATTTGTTGGACTTTTTGGAGCTTCTCCACCTTTAGTAGTAAAATAAATGAGAAATCCTTTCCTTTTTCATATGACTGACCTTTCCACAAAAGTGCTGGTTACTGGAGAAAGTGGCTATTTCATGTGAAGACCAAAATCTGAAGTATAAGTGGAAGGTATTTCTAAATCCTTTGAGACTCAGTCACAGTGGCTCCTTGTGTATTGCTCAAATTGTTCTGGTTCTATTTGCATTCAGTATTTCTTCTTCTCTTTAGTAAAAAATGCTACCAAGGGGACCTGGGATAACTTTTTTCAGCTGGCTCTCATTGCATATATAATAGCTGAAATAAAATATTCTGTTTTCCACAGAGGTTTTTCTGAGAAAAGACAATTATCTTAGATGCTTGTGTTTCTTTTCACCTGTTCCCAGTCATATGCAGTGTGCTCTGCTGTGGCTGAGAAATACTAAAACCCTGGTTACCTAATCAGAAAGGTCCAGACAATTATGAGACAAATAGTGAAGGCACAGCTTGATTTTCATTTAAAAGAATTCTGAGAGAGATGTAGAACTGCAAAGATCAAGAGAACAAATTCTCAGAGGGCAAGTTAGAGCAGAGGCCTTGTGGGTATTTATGTTTTTCCCTTTCTCCCATGATACCAGAACAAGAAACAACTCAGCAAAATGGAAAATCATTAAACATGGATAGACAGATTGCTATAATTGGCAATGTTTTGTTAACTTGTGGGACTTATTACCACAATATAATAGCCCAGTTTGCTTTTCTTTATTACCTAAATTGTAGTGTAAACTGCCTGGGGAGAAGATTTCAGGGGAGAATGGTGCTGAGTGTGCTGGGAGGTTGGAGAGTGCCTGTGCAGAGCTCTCACCCTGGTTATGCCCACAGAGCCTATTCTCCAAATTCAGCCAGTTCTTCTGCTTCACACATCACTTAAAAACCCAATTCTGCTGTGCTAATGTATTGATTTTTAATACAAATTGTACTGCAATTTTATTACCTGAATCTTGCTATGGATTAGCCTGACCAGTGACTTTTCTAAGACATGGACTTTGCTTCTTCACCACATTATCTACTAGAGATACTCAGGATCAAGTATAAAGTAATGATAAATAAATGCTTGGTTGGAGCAGCCCAGCTATATATGAATATTTGGACTATGCCAAGTGTCTTGTTGCACAAATTTCTGATCCTGTTTGTTAATTTCATTTTTCAAGGGGAAGAAAATCCTCCAGGTTCTTACAACAGACAAGAATTATTGACCAAGCATTTTGGTTTTTTTCACCCTTTTCTAAGCTGGAATATCCCAGCCTTTTTATTTTGCACGAAGTCAATGCCTTATTTATATTCAGAGCCTG